GATCCTAACTCTGTAGACCTTCCGGTCCTAACTCTGTTGACCTTTCGGTCCTAGCTTTGTAAGCATCAGGATATAGCATATACATATCACATAAACAAAAACATAATACTACATAACTCATGTAAACACATAAGACCCTCTGGTCATGCATAGTCACCACTCTAGGTAAGGTATAGTGAGAAAACTCACCTCGAGGCACGCAAGCAATTATCCCTGTACTCAAATCTCGAACTAGCCGCCGCCTAACACATAGGGTAAATATTCTCTAATTAATACTTGATTCTTAAATCTAAGTAAACCAAAGGTTACTCTTTCTCTCTCTAACTCCGGAAGTGGGTAAAATATCATTTTACCCTTCAATGGTCTCCATTACTCAGGTTTGACCAACTAGAAGTCAAACTCGAGTCAACAGTCCTTGCTTGACCCGACTCGTCGAGTGCACTCATGCAACTCGTCGAGTCCGCTCTTTTCCTTGGAAGTCTCAAGAAAGTCCAGCTTAGCTCGTCGAGTTAACCCCCCAACTCGCCGAGTTATCGCATGATCAAACTCATCGGGACAACCCTAACCGACTCGTCGAGTCAGTTCATGGACTCGGCGAGTCCCTTCAGTCTGTTTTTCTCATTCAGACATTTTAAGGCAGATCTACTACCCTAAACTCTAGATCTAGCCTCCCAAGGATCGAATGTCACGTAAAGCTTCAATCTTTACGTTCATGCATGGCATACTTGCTCCATAATGCCAATACAAGTTCTAATAAAGGTTACATGCTCAAGGTCTTGTCTCTAACTCAATAAAGTTCGGGTCGTTGGGCTCACAAGGCCTCCTACAACTCAAATATGAGGTTTCAACCTCAATCATGCTCAAAGATCACAATGACACCAAAAAGAATGGGAGAAACCCTAGAAACTCCCCTAAACCAAAATCTTCATAAGGAGATGACCAAGTTAGCATCTTTTTACCTCCAACTGAAGCAAAACTCTGAAAAACCTCTAGATCCAAAGCCTCCTCTTGAACCAAGCTTTGATGCTCTCCACTTCTCCTTCAACAATGCACTAAAATCCACAAGATTAGCCTCTTTCTCACTCTCCACCTCAAATGGACGATTAGGGTTTCTCTCAAGGAAGTAGGGTGACTGGTGAGGCGCATATGGGGCTATAAGTTCGCTTATATAGGCCCCAACCCCAGGAAATTAGGGTTTCTCTGCCCAACACCTACTCGGCGAGTCGATTTCTGACTCATCGAGTCCATTCATTAATCCCACGTGGACACTCGACTCTACTCGACGAGTTGGACTCACAACTCGCCGAGTCACTCCATGAATCTTAAGATTAATCACACAATAATATACCTGAAAGTCCGGATGTTACATGGTGGGATACACTGACTCTGATCATTGTGGGTGTGGTATTGATTGTAAAATCACTTCAAGAGGAGCTCAAATGCTTGGAAATAGATTGGTAAGTTGGTCCAACAAAAAGAAAACATCAGTGTCTTGTTCTACCGCTGAGGCTGAATATGTTGCCGTTGGAAGGCGTTGTGCCCAAATTCTATGGATTTAGAATCACCTCTTGGAGTATGGTCTGAACTTCTCAAAGACACCCATTTGCTGTGATGACATCAATACCATTTAGATGATTCAAAATCCTGTGCAACATTCCAAGACCAAGCACATCAACATTCGCCACCATTTCATCAGGGACATAGTTCAAAGGGGAAAAATGGAATTGTTCAATATTTCATCCACTGATCAACTAGCTGACATCTTCACCAAGCCATTGGATGAAAAAAGTTTGAACAAATTAATTGCTGATCTTAGCATGCTTTCTATGGTTTAATTGTTAATTAACTTCTTTTCGATCTTATGGAAAACTAAAAAACAAAGTGCTTCTTTCATTATGAATGAAAAGTCTTACATTTAGTATTTACATGTATTCCTTTTCAAACCTATCTAAGATTTTTTTGCATCTTATTTGAAAGGATTGAAGCTGTCTTGAAGGATCTTAATGCTCTTGGTATTGAGAAAAATAGTGGCATCGTGTCCTTTTCGTCTTACGGATACCCTCTTTCTCCTCCACTCACTGTTATGGATGCAAAGAGCAATCGTCAAAGCAGTAAGTCTTAGCTTCATCTACTGACTCATAATCCAATAAAACCTCGTATTCACTCATGTTGATCTTGAAGACACGATGTTTTTATGGATTCAAGTCAGTTAACTCGTTGGTTACAAATACTTATCTTTGCTTCTCTCTTTCCCTTGATCAAGCTTGAAATCCATCTGTGACGCTTTAATGATAAAATACTTCATCAATTGTGAGTTGCTTGATGATGTACTTACCCTTTGTTTTCTCTCTTTTATAACTGAAATTTCAAGTGGTAGATATATCGGAAAATGGAAGGGAATTAATGACCATTCAATTCCAAAGATTTGATGGATCAAGTCTTTATCACTTTTCTGAAAAAGTTGCACATTTTTTTGTTTAAACTATTTCTTGTTTGACTAATTCTTTTGTTTGTATTCTTATATTATTCTCTTATACCATTCTATATAAAAGGAATCTGAAGGTGGCAAGTTTGAGCCTAGTATGCAACTTTTGACACATCATTGTCCCTAAAAGCATGCTGATGTATGTGACTAAATATCTCTAAGTCTCTCATCAGCGAGACCATCTGCTAATAACATTGATTCACCCTCTCACGCTGATTGTCTAGCATTGTCTAAACTCTCAGAAGTGAGATAGCTTGTTCCAAATGAAAAATATTAATAAAAAGGATAGGGTGTTTATTATTTTTTAAGTTAATCATCTTTACCTGACCCTGTCCCTGGAAGCATGCTTGTCGTATGCATCAAGTCTCATATTTTGCTGAAACATTGAGCATAACCCAATAACTTACCCTGATTGCATAATCATCAGCATAAGAGATACTTCTCAGGTCCTTAAATGACAAAGGGTTGTTAATGTCCATGACCTACTAGTTTGAGGTAGACATGGTGCCATTATGAATTAACAGTGAATCTTTGATTCTAGATTAAAACTTACTTTATGATACAGAAGTTTAAACCACTTCCTGTTGATGAGTTAAACTGTTAATGATTCACGCTGATTTCACCTCAGCATGAATGAAACAATCCATTCTTGCCCTCACATTCTTCTTTAAAGTTTTATGATTCAGCGTAATGTACCATACGCTGATGAGAGCTTGGCAAATCTGTGTCGATGGGTATATCATTGTTTGTGATGTATTACACGTACCTATCCATTCTTGCCATTTTTCTTCTAATAAAAGAGATTTTTGATTCAGTGTATGAAACCACACGCTGATGAGATCTCGAAACACTATGTCAGTGAATGGTAGTTTTAACCCACGCTACCAGGAGACATCACAATCTTACTAGACTACAAGTTGATATTCTATTCTTCTCAAGGTTGTAGAAGTCGTTACTCGGTATCTGTTCGGCCGACTACCGAGTAACGAGTACCCGGGAGTACTCGGGAGTACTCGGATTCGGTATTTCATGTAGAAATATTTTTAGGGAAATTATAAATGTCAAAATCATAAGTTAAAATCACAAGTTGATAGAAATAATCACAAAATTAGATATATGTGAATACATAAAAACCGAAAAACACATAATGGTCTCACTTCGTGAATAATTATTGAAAATTTAAGATATATATGTAGTAATAATCACATGTGTGTGTTAAATAATAAATCATTAAGTATATTATACATATTAATCACCGAGTTGACCGAGTTTTACAACATTGCTCAGTATATATACTACATTAGGGCTAACCCTAATGCAGTGCTAGTGTTGGTGGCTTTGTGTCAATTATCTTTGTGGCAAACCTCGTCTTCTTGGTGAAAACAAAACCTCTTTTCTCTGTGAAAGGAACATTTGAAGTAATCCTTGTGTCATTTATTTTCTGTTTCATTCGTACTTGAAGTGTATCTGATCATAATACAAACCTTCAGATCCACGTACAAGAACATCTTAGCAACCGAACCAATATGATTTTGAGAGATCTCTAACCAATTTAAAATCACTTTCTAAGTCCTTGTTGCGACCTCACATTTAACAAACATATGATCGAGTTGCTAGACCCCCAATTCGCATATGACATAAATAATGGTAGGGACATCCATTCCAACGGTGGAAAAATTGAAATTCGTTGGAATTCTATCACCCATCACACGCCAAATAAAAAATATTTACCTTCCAAGGTATAAACGAGTTCCACTCTCGTAGCTTCACCCACTTAGCATCTTCACAAATTGTTTTGTTTTTATTAAGCCTCACCCCACATCTTCACTAGTGGTTGACGTTTGCATCTGCAGTTCCACCTTAAGGCTTCTCTTTGTTAACTTCGCCATGAGATAAGTCTCCACTTCTAGATAGGGCATAAATGTGGACAATGATGCATCGGGAAGGAAGACAATGGTACGAATGTGAAGACTTTTCTTATTCTTGGTTTGGGATATGCTTGCAAGCAATGTGTATGTGTGTGTGTGTGTGGGGGGGAGGTGATTTAAAAATAGTAAAAGCTTTTAACAAAAGTTTTAAAAAAAAAAAAAAAAACACCGAAAATAACAAAAAAAAATATGGTAACTTTGTATCTGACAACACATTTCTATTGAACTTATTATACGGACTATTGATGCAACAAAATGATAGATTAAGGATAAAAGATGCATGGAAGAAAAAAACCATGGATTTTAAATTTGTGATTTGTATTTTGTAATTTTCACCAAACCACATGCAACAATTATGCAATTCTTTCTCTTAAAATTCACATATGATATGAGGTGCAATTTGCGATGATATGTACTAATGTCCTTAACCTGCACTACATGACTTCGTCGACCCTTTTTATTTATGTGGTAAAAAGAGCTCAGTCAATTCGGATTCATCAACCCAAACTTCTACAATCTTAAGTCTATTGTTTTCGGATAACATCTTCTTTTCTTCTGCTTCTTTAATCATTGCGACATCTTTGGCTTTACCCCATAGTACCACATACAATCCTATTATGACTCCAATTGCACCTATCACACTATAAAAATGGATGTTTTGTTATTATATGAAAAGAATAAAAAAACACTTGGTATCAAAATTGTAGAAGAATAAAATAAAAACAAAAATAAAATTGTCGACTTTAAAAAGTAGGCAACTATTCTTTTGTAACATTTTAGGTGTCAAACCACATCATATAAACTTTCAATGTGATTACGTCGCTAACTACTTTGATGCTTGAACTTGGCTATTTCTCTTTTTATTTTATATTTTAGCATGTTTTTTTGGTAATCAAAATTTATGTAACAATAGATTAAAGTTCATATAACGTCCATTTACCTTCCAACGTATATTTGTTCTTGTAAAAATATAGAAGCGAGGATGGTGACAATGATTGTGTTCAAAGGATTGAACATTGCTGAAAATACTGGACCCCTTCTTTCGATGACCCATGCTTGTGCACATATGGAAATCCCTGAACCAACAATACCCGAATCATCAAAATGGTCACAAAGATATATCACCTTCAGTTTTCAAACACAAAATATAACATTTTTATTTGAATATCAAACGAATGTCATTACCGCATATAAACAAGTGCTAAGTTGCAAATATGATTTGATTTTCCATGCATCCAAGTATGGATCTGTAAACAACGTAACCACCGCACATTGCATTGTCCCAATAAAACACATCCAGGCCGATAAAGATAAGGGGTCTGCAGTGTTGGATATTGGCTCTTCAAACACACACACCAAACTCACGTTAATGTATGAAGACCAAAACTCACTCTTTATTCATGGGAAAGGAGGGTTATAAATAGCCTTACATAGACACCAAAGAAACAGAAAGACAAAAGCAATAAGATACTACCTAGTTAGTCAAAAATGAAGGCCAACACAATCTTTGGTAATCTGAAATTCTACCCACTAATTTGGACTACTGCCAACTAGCTTTTACATTGATCAAGAAAGCAAAATACTAAAATTCTCTTAAGTAAAATGCACGTGGGCTATGACAAACCGATTAACCCAACATGCAGGTTAGTTTCGTGTGACTGATATCTACAATATTTAACAAATTTCATAACATTCATTGTAACAGAATTCAAATCATATGTATAGTTTTTTTTTAACATACATTTCATTATAGTGTTAGATTTTTTTTTTTTTTTTGGAACTGCAAACTAATCTATTATAGTGTTAGACGTATACCTGTATTATTAGCCAAAATGACCAGCAACAACAGGCAACAAAGAGACATAAGCAACCCAGAAGCCAAACTTTATCACTTTCGGTTGCATTTAATGATGAAGAATTCGATGAAGGCAAACGTGCATTTATAAGCTTGGCGCCTTTGATGTTAGCCTTCATCTTGTGAAAATTTGTTTAAGTTAAAATCTTGTAGTTCTAATGTTAGCCTTCAATGTTGCAATGCTTCATATTTCAGAAAATATGATTGAGGGAAAAACTGAAAAGATGATGTGTTTGATATTAGTGTTTTGAGAATGTTTGATCTGATTCAATTAAATATGAAAGTATGACATTTCTAATTGTTTTGTTCATTTTTCATGCCACTTTGCATCATATGTACTACTTTAGTGGATAGATAATTTAGGCTTTCATCCTTAGCCATGAAAGTCAAGTGGTTGGGCTCTAACTGCATATAAAGTTCCTATTTTTTTGAACCCAAAATTGCACCACCTCTATATGGTTATCCTTAAATCTTCATCTGTTGGTAAGTGGTTATTTTAAAAAAAGATATGGTGAAATTGAGTAAACAAACTTTATTCCAATAATTAGTGATTGGAGGTAGTCACCAACATAGATTTGTGATTTTAGTTAGCAAATGGGAAAAGCATAATAAAATTGTATATTATGTTTACTGATTGTAATTGTGGCAGCTTCCATATGGTGGTCTATTTTTTATACCAATAATTGAGCATTTTTTTCATTTATGTAGTGTGAAATAAATAAAAATGGACTGGTATACATATTTCTTTTTTATGCAGCTTATGTAGGAATTGCAACTGTGGCAGGTTCCATATGGTGGCGTATTTACTCAAGTCAATAATTTGTTAATGGATTTGTCATATGAGAAACACAAGACTCTCTCACTAGAAAATTTAAGTAAATCTCTTTTCTTATCTGTTGTTTTAGACATGTTATAGTAGAATTTTTTTTATTCTCTATCTTTTAAGCTCTTATTCCATAAAAGTTGACTGATTGACTGAATACTTTTCATTATCCATATTAATTTTATAATTAATTTTAATATGTTTAGTTTTTTACTATTTTAGGTACAGATTGTCCAAATTAAAAAGGTGGTGCCTGCTAAACTAATTTTAGCTGGAATGATCATCACTCTTGATATGGAATGCGTTTAAAGCAAAAGGTTGTTAAAAATTTTAGTAGGAACCATAAAGCATTACTCTATGGAGGGGAGACATCGATAAAACAAGAAAGAGCTCAAAGTTACTAACGAGAAGTAGCAAAAAACAGAAGAAGATATGCAAAAATCACAAACTTTATGATCTTGAAGTTCTTAGACTTTCAAAATGTACCCTGCCCTTCTGATGTAGATGAAGATCCTATACACAAGGATAAAACACATCTATCGGATCCCGATCATTAGTCAATATCTTTCTTTAAAGTTCGGTATTATTTTTCACATCTACTTTACTTATTAGTGATTTTATTGTTAGTCGATTATAGTTAATCATTTTAACTTTTAGATTTGAAGGTGTTCGAATATTATTCATTTATTTATACTAGTTTTTTGTTTTGTGTATTTACATGAATTCCAATGTATATACTAGTAGTTATAAAATCTATATAGGAAATAAAACTTGCTCCGTTTTCAACTATTATTGTTGCTGAATATCGGTCTTAGATATTAAATATTAGTCCTAGAAATGACATATCGTAGACTGAACGTATCAGTCATAGTAATCTTTTTCAGTTAAAAAAATCATATTCGGGACTAAATCACATTCTATCACACATGACATGTAAATATATAACGGGGATCTAGATGAATTTTAATAGAGACCAATATATATCATCAAAGATTGATATCTAGTCCCTAAGTATCAAGGACTAATATGACATAAAATTTGACCAAAAAGGAAACATGTTAGAAACAAATGGGATAATATCAAATACTAATATTTAGTCCCTGAAAGATATTATCAGGGACTGATATGTTATAAATGATGACCCAGAAGAAACATATCGGAGACTAAATGAGATTGTATAAGGGACTGATGTTCAGTCCTTAAAAGATAACATCAAGGACTGATATTATATAAATCTAGGGACCCAAAGGAAATATATCAAAGACCGACCAAGATAGTCTTAAAGGCTGATTTTCAGTCTCTAATACGAACACGTATCAGGGACTGATTTTCAGTCCTTGATACATAAAATATTTGTTATCTAAGACTAGCTCTCGGGGACTAGCTGGGGACTAGTGAAATCAGTCATCGATGCGTATCAAAGACTGATTATTAATCAACAGAGACTGATTTTTTCAGTCTTTGATACCATTTTTTCTTGTAGTGTGGCCACTTATAATGTTTTGAACTAGTTGTGAGACCCATGTATTACATGGGTCAATATATATATATATAAATATATATATATATATATATATATATATATATATATATATATATATAATAACTTTGAACTTATAAGAAAATAAGAAAAATAATGAATTATAATGATAATGTTTTTTATCTTTTAAATTTAAACAAATAATTTATATAAATAAACAAAAAACTAATAAGTTTTAATTTTAAAAAAATTTGAAATTAAAAGGAAAGTTGCCACTGATATCAATTTATTTCTACATTTATTGCAATTTTAATTAAAATGTTATGTGAAATAAAAAAAAAAAACTTATAAAATAACATATGCAAAAAGAAAAAAAGTTAATTCAAAAGTACCACAAATCACATTTGACAAATTAAATGAAAGTATGACGAGTAACAAAAAAGCATTCATTTATTAGAGTAGATTATAAAAAATTACCTTTAATACATGGAAAATGCATCCTTAAATATTTTTAAAAAATAAGTTTTCAAAAATGCAATTCGATAAAAACAATGAGTTTGAAGTTTCCAATAAAAGCAATTATCTATATCACTTTGTGTTAGAAAATAACTTTTTGAAATTTAAGTGAGTTCAAAAATTCTATTAAAGTTATTTCCGAAATAACTTTATGTTATTAAATCAAATTTCAAAAACCAAAATTTTATATTTTGAGATGGAAAAGATATAAACATGACATATGGAATAACCTAATGGGTTAAAATTGTAAATATATAGGGACTATTTTGTAAATCTAAAAGATTCGTGTGATGGTTCTGGGCCAACAACCCCAGTTATATGCAAAAGCTTTTTAAAACAGCACCATTTTTGTGCAAAGGAATTAACGTTTTCGCAAAAGCTCTCATTTTTAGCCGACCCTACACGCTACATATTTTTTTTTTTTAAAAAAAAAAAAAAAAAAAAAAAAATGAATTACCCGATCAAGGCTGCAATGAAGATCAACGAAAAGCTCTTCCATCCCATAGAACTACTCTCTGATTTATTCCTATATACATGGACAAATAACAAATTTCAGAACTAGAAATCTTATTATATGAAAACACGTTGACAAATTTTGAGAAGAAATTTATGCATGTTGAACCAAGATTATGTCAGAAGCTACCTAAAAAAGTAAGCAACAGGAGCGATGAATAATGTTCCGAAAGCCTGTCTATAGAAAACAAAAACTCTAGGACTCATTCCATGCAAGAGAGAAGCTCTAGCAGATATGTACATTATTGCATATGTAAACTGCAACACCACCATAACCATCACCGGCCTGTAATGCTCTATCGACCCCATTGAAGCTTATGATCAGGTTTGTAGAGTTGAGTTATTACTCTACGTAATATTGAAACTTTGGTGTCCGAAGAGAAGCCTTTAAATATATACAATTACAAAAAGTGATCAGGTGTTTGGCATTTGGGTCCCCAATCTCTAAACGTTTGCAATTTCAGTCACTCGTACTTCTGAATACTAAAAGTCATTGATTTATAGATTAAAACTTTCATGTGGTGCATGACTATTGCATCTTCTTTTCCAAACAGGACTTTGCGTTGGAGTGAGAAGTTGGTAGAACTTTAAGAGATGAGTGTGATAAGTGTTTAGAATATTAAAGGGCATAAAAGATGTGAAAAATGTGGAAAAAATGTTCATATTCAATTATAGAAAAAGTGTAAAAAAATGTTCAAATATTATAAGGAAAAAAAAATGTAAAGGTATTTGGAACGTTATACTACTTAGTTAGAACAAAAACTAAAATTGTTAATTAAAAATATAGCCTAGTGAATTCATCCCCTTCTCAATTACCATCCATTATAATCAAGGAGGCCACCTTTATAGCTCCTAACGTGAAGGACATATTCAAAATGTCATTTTGATTCACATAATCATGTGCCGGAGTTTCTTATAGGTTGTAAACTAACCAAACGAACACGAACAAAGACTTGTTCATGTCTGTGTGTTGAAGTTAGCCGAACAAACGAACGGACAAGTATGGATAAGCAAACGAGGTCTTGGTGATGTTTATTCAATTGATAAATTACCTTGTTAATACTCGTTTGTTTATATTCGTGAACATGCTAAACGGACATAAATGAATAAACATAAACGAAAGAAGATAAACAAACATAACTGAACATATGTGAACATAAACAAACGTATAATATAGTAATGTAATAACAACTAGTTTAACATATATTAACATAAATAAACTTAAACGAATAAATATAAATAAACGTAAACGAACAAGATAAATGAACACTCACAAACATGAATGAACGAAAAAATAAATCATTGTTCATTTTTGTTTGTTTAACTTAAAGAATGAGAATTTGTATTCATTTATTGAATAAACAAAAATATATAAACTTATTTGCAAACGGTTTGTTGAACGTTCGGTTCATTTACAACCTATTTTATGTCACATTCCTGATAAATTTGGTAAAATATAAATGATGAAAAATTAAATATACTTCTACTTTTCTTTCTAATTATCTTCCCATCCATTTAAAATGATGACAAGTGTCCTAAAATATCATTAATTTTATTTAAATATGACATTTGTCACTATTTTCTTTGGATGAGAAGATAAGTAGGAAGAAAACGTAACAGATTACTTAATTTCTCATAAATGATTAAAAGTTTGATTCATTTATAAGAAACCCACTTTTTAATATGAAGGCCAACCTCTATATAGAGCATATAACTTTTAAAAAATGATTCATTTATAAGAAACCCACTTTTTAATTGGGAGTCTCCTAAACCGCCAAAAAGAAATT